AATTGCAATCATATAGCATCAAGTAATTGCACCAACTGCTACTCTAGAGTCAAAAGAGGAGAAGATTACTAATCTGCCATGAAGATGAACGAAAAAGAAAGAGCAAAAGAAGAGAAATAAAAAAAAAAACTAGAAGGAAAGAGAGATCTAAACAATACAAAAGCTAGATTTAAACCAAAATTCTAAAAGAAAAGAACAAAAGAAAGGAAATAGAAAAAGCTAGACCTAGACAATGCAAAAATTAGATCCAAACCAAAATCCCAAATCTAAACACTCTTCAGGGACAATTAAAAGTGCCCCTCACCTCCACCAATATGAGGGCATGAAATATAGAAAGGGAATACAGAAAATATGCATAGCAATTAACTCAAAAACTCTAGTTTATATAAAGGAGTGAATGGTCCAGATTGAAACTAATCCGACGGCTACTAAAATCTCACTATGCTAATATTAGTATACAACATTATAGCTGTACACTTAGACCTCACAACCTAGTATTTCAAAACAAAATTATAAGTATAAATAGAAAATAGTTAAATTTCATATATACATTTAATTTTAGTTCTACACTTTTAATAAAATAATAGCACAAAACTTGTATTCTTATATTAAGTTTAACACAGTACCCTATATAGATAAAAAAAATCATAAATAATATTTGGAAAAAAAAATCAGAGATCATCTTTAAGAGGCTTATTTTATTCTTTAAAAAATATAAAAGGAGACCCTAGGAAATATTCTTAGAATATTCAATGGTTATCTTTTCTCATGTAGAGCCAGAGAATTGTTGTGCTTTCTTCCCTAATATATAGTTCAAAGAACAAGAGTAAAGAAAGACTAGTCACACTACAAATTTAATTTTGCAGACAGAAGGTAATCCATAATCAATCTTCCCAGAAGCAGTCACTAGGTATGATTTTCTTATCCTTCATTTTCTGGATCCACAAGCAGATGGACTTCTTGTATTCTTTGTTGTTCATGATCAATTGCGGCAATTTCATCACCAGATCATAAAGCCACCACGTTTCAGGTTGAAGGTTAGACTCTAGGAGCCCGTATTTGGTTGTAATATCCTTCTAGATTGTCTCCTTACTATGCATCATCTTTGCTAAGCTCTTACCACCACCATCGTACTCCTGTGGGGCTTCCATATGAAGATTAACCAGTAGGTTCCACAGCCTCTTCCAGCTGATGAGATCCTTGTTATCAATGTTAAAGGCTTGATTATGAGCATTTGGATTCATGGCAGCCCACAACTCTTGCTCGCTGATAAATTCGTGAAGCTGTTCCACTTATTGAAGTTGCCAGGGAAGACAACTTCTTTCTTGCAGATTGCAGCATACACTGCTAACCATCCTAACATGTTAGCATAGTTTCTAGGTGCAAATCCAATGATGATATTCACACAATGAACAAACCAAGTCAGATTTGCCCCAAAGGATATCCTCTTGCGTGTAGTAAAAATTTGGAATTCCATGTATCCTCGTTAGTTCGTTAATTTATAAGCCCTTAGGAGGAGGTTCGTGCCCTTTCTGTAGTCCCTACTGCAAGGCTAAGATTCATTCAAAGATGAGTTAGCGCACTTGTCTTATGTGAGAGGCAAGGTAGCATATTTTAGCCTTGAGTTGGAAGATGTTCACACCTCACATGAAGTTATAAGTTGGAGAAGCACATTGGTGGTAGAGTGTTCTACGGCAAGTTTCACAGATCATGAAGCATAGCAGGTGGCTTCAAGTTTTGTGGTGGAGTCATCTAGCAAGCAGACACCCCAAGAGCAGTGTTGGCTGTTCATGCTTGTAGTTTCTCTAACTTTTTTGAGAGTTTCAATGTTGTTTTAATCCCCTTAAGACTAAGGTAATGTACATATACATTTATCATTGACTTGTAAGCCAATCGTACTAGAGTAAGGTCCTAAATAGTGCTTGGTTCCAATCAGCAAGCAAACATGCTTGAGCTTTTTTGTGACTGGGATGATCATTTAGTGTCTGCAACACGAATCCATTCGCTCTGCAGTTTTCTTTTTCATTCGGCTGTCTTGTACAGGTGACCAGAAAATATGACTAGCTTCAGTCAGTGACAATTTGGAGAAGATCACACTGGATATACGACACCATACTATCCTTGTGGGAGAACCATTCTAGCTTTGGGTGTTTGGGCAACACAATAAATCTTCCATGGCCCTCCAAGAGCACCTGGTTCTTTTAGCGTTTCCATCAAGCTGTTCGACTCCTAAGCGCTACATTGCTGCTTATGTTGCGAACGAATGCGTGACTTACCTTCAGATACACAGAGTTCTAGAGGAGGTCGGCCCAATCTTCTTGAGATTTATTTCCTGCGGTACATAGTCGAGGAAATCCCAATCCTAAGACAAGTAAGTTGATGCCATGTCGGCAAATAGATTCTTGCAATAAGAGACTAAATTAATCAACTTCCACTGTGGCTTGCGGTTGTTAAAGCAGTTGTTTAAACTAAGGTACTTTCTTGCGTTCCTTTAAGTTATGCCTCCTTTTGGAGCGGTAAAATTGTCAACTTCAAATTGTCTGGAACTTACTATCAGCGAGAGACAGTAGTAAGACTCTTCAGGTCTCAGGCCCCACAAATATTTCCTTGCACTGCTGTTTTGCTCAACCTCTATGTGTTCATAGAAAGAATCTTTCAAAATTAGCAAGGCAAGTGCCAATGTGGTCATCTAATGCATTTGCTCTTGTTGCAAAATATATTTTATATATTTGATCACAAAAATATCTTACTTTCCTACAACGAACCTTTTCCATCTTCAACACCGATAATCCCTCAAGCTTGGGAGTTGCTGCCACGGATTGTTAATCCGCCGTTGCCAGGGATCGAACCCGCGCACATGCAACCATGTAATATATGGTTTGTTTACAAGAAGAATCTCTTCCACTAAAAAACTTCCTGACGTCAAGACTTTGGTGGACACTGGTAACACCTCGCGAAAAGCCCAAAGTTTCGCACTTGTCTTGTCAAATTGGAAATCGTTGCCCATCCTCCAATCCCAACACCCACCACCACCACCCACAAAATCACTCCCAGATTGATGCAATACATTCCAGCCCAGCTACGTATCCAGAATGGAGGTTCCTCAAATGAACTCTTTTAAGAAAACAAAAAGCCATTGTTAAGCTACCAACATGCAAAGGAAACAGAAACCATTTACCTTGCGTGCCTTCTCACTTCTGAAGACGATCATATGCGCAAGGCATGGAAGGAAGTAAACAGCGAGCGTTGTAAAAAAGGAACCGTTGAAGGAGTCGATGGGACCAAAGAAAGGCAGCATAATCGCACAAAACCATATGAGGAGAAAAACCGGTATCCTGGCAGCCACTTTTAACAGGTAGTAATTCGAGTGGTGAATCCCAAAAAGCTTCTCACACATAATGAAGAATGGCAACGCTAAGAGACCAAATTCAAAGAACTGCAAGATAAAAGAGTTAGAACAATGGCACACACAAAGAAAAAAGGATAAACACTCTTTGACAAACCTGGTGGATGATAATCAGCACTACCGCGGCATCGCGGAACTTCGTCCTGGGAAGAACAGCGAAGGCGTTAGCGTTGTGCAGCATCCTATCGCCAAAAGCCCAGTATACAGTTGATGCAGATGGTAGCGTCAAGGTGAGAGTATATAAGACGACATAAAAATACACTCGCTTGAAATCTCTTGGCTTCCACATTGACCCTGCAAGTTCACTGTTGGCACGGTAACGAAAACAACATTGTCAAACCGTTATGAGAGCTTAAATGCAGAAAGAAAGGAATACGAAGACGTACACTGTCAGTCCGTGTCCTCCAAATGTGTAGATTATGTTAGATGCGCCCAAAAAATAGTTTTCCAGGCTATGAGGACCAGTGTGCTTCACCCCCGGATCCTGCAAATTCCCAAGATTCAGCACAGTGACTTTACCATTGTCAAACGGCTTACTCTCCCGTGGACTGCTGCAGCAATGGTTAAATACCAAGCCACATATGTCGTCATGATAATCCCAGCAAAAGACCACATCCGATAATTACGCGGCGAGGGGAGCAAAACACCCAGAAACATGAACGGCCCCAGGACAAGGGTCCATGTCCGTTTGTCGAGACTATCATTGATATAGTACGCGGCACTGCAATGCTATCCAGGATAAAGGCAGAGAATTGAAAAGCATTAGAAAATCAAGCACCTCGCACAGGCTACCATTTGGATCATGGCACCGGAGGACAAGCCGCAAAAGTATAATAGCAATGTCGCTCCCTTGCCCCAAGGCCCGAGGAAAAACTCCATAACTTCATACCACTGGAAGGGAAGGTCAGCCAAGAGCACTCTGCGAGATCTCACTGATACAAACCTGAACAACGTGATTTTTCTTCTGCTGCGAGCTTTGCGTTGCTAGATAAGTGAGGTACACGCTGGTCATGATGTAAGAAACCCAGGACCCCATCATGCCATAGAGCAATTGGAAAGTAATGCCTGATGCCATTCCCATCTGAGCGAATGTGAATGGGAGATTGAGCAAGACTTGAGACACCTGCAAGAACAAAGCGGTGAGAAGAACCTGGAGAAAGAAAGCTCACACGAACCTGAAAAGACGCTGCGTTGAGCCAGGCATCGAAAGACGATCCTCCGTTCCATAAAACTCTATCGATAAACTCGCGATACCGTGAAGCACCGACGGTTTCCTGCGGCACAATCGCTGAACTGGCAGGCTCCTGCCGCTGCGATGAGGAGGTATCTACTAGATCTAGTTGAGAGGACTCATCCCAGACACTCAGAGAGATGCTACTAGAATCCATACTCTGTGCATCACTGAAATTGAAAAAAGAGGAGAAGTACGATGCAAGGGAAGCTACCAAGTAGCTGATTATGGACTTGACTTCTAAACAAGCCCAGACAAGGAATGAAGTTTCCAGGGATAGATAAATTGAGAGACGGGCTGCTGCTTACTGTACACACACTTCAATCTTGAAGCAGTCACTAAGTATGATTTTTTTATCCTTCATTTTCTGGATCCACAAGCAGATGGACTTCTCGGTGTTCTTGAAGCCCAAGAAGCCGTAGTCTTTGCTCTTGTTCATGATAGGGGAGAGGGAGAGAGAGAGAAAGAGAGAGAGAGAGAGCATGCGAGAGAGAGCACGCACTTGTCCAGTTGGTTACAGTGTCAATCCATAAGGGTGCAAGAATTGATCACGTCCAAACCACCACAATCAAATATGAAACTAGAGTGCCTCCAACGAACCTTTTCCATCTTCAACACCGATGGTCCCTCGGGCTTGGGAGTTGTTACCACGGATTGTTAATCCGCCGTTGCCGGGGATCGAACCCGCGGACATGCGACCACGTAATATATGGTTTGTTTACAGGAAGAACCTCTTCCACTAAAAAACTTCCTGACGTCAAGACTTTGGTGGACACTGGTAACACCTCGCAAAAAGCCCAAAGCTTCGCACTTGTCTTGTCAAATTGGAAATCGTTGCCCATCCTCCAATCCCAACACCCACCACCACCACCCACAAAATCACTCCCAGATTGATGCAATACATTCCAGCCCAGCTGCGTATCCAGAATGGAGGTTGCTCAAATGAACTCTTTTAAGAAAACAAAAAGCCATTGTTAAGTTACCAACATGCAAAGGGAAACAAAAACCATTTACCTTGCGTGCCTTCTCACTTCTGAAGACGATCATATGCACAAGGCATGGAAGGAAGTAAACAGCGAGCGTTGTAAAAAAGGAACCGTTGAAGGAGTCGATGGGACCAAAGAAAGGCAGCATAATCGCACAAAACCATATGAGGAGAAAAACCGGTATCCTGGCAGCCACTTTTAACAGGTAGTAATTCGAGTGGTGAATCCCAAAAAGCTTCTCACACATAATGAAGAATGGCAACGCTACGAGACCAAATTCAAAGAACTGCAAGATAAAAGAGTTAGAACAATGGCACACACAAAGAAAAAAGGATAAACACTCTTTGACAAACCTGGTGGATGATAATCAGCACTACCGCGGCATCGCGGAACTTCGTCCTGGGAAGAACAGCGAAGGCGTTAGCGTTGTGCAGCATCCTATCGCCAAAAGCCCAGTATACAGTTGATGCAGATGGTAGCGTCAAGGTGAGAGTATATAAGACAGCATAAAAATACACTCGCTTGAAATCTCTTGGCTTCCACATTGACCCTGCAAGTTCACTGTTGGCACGGTAACGAAAACAACATTGTCAAACCGTTAAGAGAACTTAAATGCAGAAAGAAAGGAATATGAAGACGTACACTGTCAGTCCGTGTCCTCCAAATGTGTAGATTATGTTAGATGCGCCCAAAAAATAGTTTTCCAGGCTATGAGGACCAGTGTGCTTCACCCCCGGATCCTGCAAATTCCCAAGATTCAGCACAGTGACTTTAGCATTGTCAAACGGCTTACTCTCCCGTGGACTGCTGCAGCAATGGTTAAATACCAAGCCACATATGTCGTCATGATAATCCCAGCAAAAGACCACATCCGATAATTACGCGGCGAGGGGAGCAAAACACCCAGAAACATGAACGGCCCCAGGACAAGGGTCCATGTCCGTTTGTCCAGATTATCATTGATATAGTACGCGGCACTGCAATGCTATCCAGGATAAAGGCAGAGAATTGAAAAGCATTAGAAAATCAAGCACACCTCGCACAGGCTACCATTTGGATCATGGCAGCGGAAGACAAGCCGCAAAAGTATAATAGCAATGTCGCTCCCTTGCCCCAAGGCCCGAGGAAAAACTCCATAACTTCATACCACTGGAAGGGAATGTCAACCAAGAGCACTCTGCGAGATCGCACTGATACAAACCTGAACAACGTGGTTTTTCTTCTGCTGCGAGCCTTGCGTTGCTAGATAAGTGAGGTACACGCTGGTCATGATGTAAGAAACCCAGGACCCCATCATGCCATAGAGCAATTGGAAAGTAATGCCTGATGCCATTCCCATCTGAGCGAATGTGAATGGGAGATTGAGCAAGACTTGAGACACCTGCAAGAACAAAGCGGTGAGAAGAACCTGGAGAAAGAAAGCTCACACGAACCTGAAAAGACGCTGCGTTGAGCCAGGCATCGAAAGACGATCCTCCGTTCCATAAAACTCTATCGATAAACTCGCGATACCGTGAAGCACCGACGGTTTCCTGCGGCACAATCGCTGAACTGGTAGGCTCCTGCCGTTGCGATGAGGAGGTATCTACTAGATCTAGTTGAGAGGACTCATCCCAGACACTCAGAGAGATGCTACTAGAATCCATAAGTTACCCTCTGTGCATCACTGAAATTGAAAAAAGAGGAGAAGTACGATGCAAGGGAAGCTACCAAGTAGCAACTAAAAGCAGCCCATATACGCTGACTATGCACTTGAGTTCCAGACAAGCCCAGACAAGGGATGAAGTTTCCAGGGATAGATAAATTGAGAGACGGGCTGCTGCCTACTGTACACACACTTCATCTTAGCCACGCAAGCTATTATATAATCCAAACGAGAGAACCGACGCCATTACTTAGCTAATAGTCGAGAACCTCCGTCTCCGTTATGGACCTGGAGTGCCGGACGATTGATCTCCCGATAGAGTTGATCCAGTCCTCTTTTTCCTGCGTGATTTGCAAGTTAAACGTGAAGCATGATCTATTGAGCTAAAGACGGCCAGACCTTGTCCGAGTCCGCGATAAAATACATCGTCTCCTTGTTCGTGGACAATTCAAATGCGTGCTGCCGGTTTAGAACGTCCTCGGCTCCTTTCACAGTCAGACATCCGCTCACAAGAATCACTCCTCGTGGTCTAGAGTACTGCAAAAGACAAGATGAAAGGACGAAAGAAAAGTCTAGAGAAAATAAAGGAAAATCTCCAACCTGAGTGATAGTGCTCTCCTTGAACCAGAAAAGCCTTCCTTGCTTAAGAACAAACCAGCGTCTTCTCCAAGTTTTAATGTACTCTCCTATTGCAGAGATTAATTCTCGGGAAAAGAGGGAACTTTAGAGGACTACCTTACCCTGCTTCATGAGCCAACCAGCTCGCTCGGGATTGCTCCAAAATGGAACCTGTCAGCAGCACATTGCCCATTTTCAGACCTAAATCGCATCGATGCACAAGGATTTCCAGAACCGCGCGGCTCATTTCCCGGATCTACACACCTGATTCTCTTCCGCCGGCTCTTTGCGCGTGAAGAATCCGGCGATGCCCGCCATCGCCTCCTCCTCTCCCTCCACGCCTTGCAAATAGATAGAGAATTAAAGCCTAAAGAAAAGTTTCTCGAGCCTTTAGGAATCGAACCTTGGACTCCCTTTAAATCTAAGCTTTTTCATCCTTGAGAGTCGAACTCGATACCTTTTAGTGTCAACACGTGGCAGGCCACATGCCGTTGGATTTGCCGGATTAAACTTCTATACAAATGTTTGATAGCATTACATAAGACGAGGAATCGAGCTTGGAAGCCATAGCCGCCGCTCGCTGCGAGCTTTCACGGTGTGTTCTACACGAAGATAGCAGCGACATCCAAGCGACCTCACCCGGCTCAAAAGGCATGTTTTTTATGAGATCCTCGGCCTCTCTCAGCTTCCCGGCGCGCGCGAGCAAGTCGATCACGCAGTGGTAGTGTTCTCTCACGAGATTTACGTGGTGATCCACGGTTATGGACGCGAAATAGTCCAGGGCCCTCTTGAGTTCGCCGAGATGGCTACAAGCCGTGAGAACCGTGATGAAGTTCACGTAGTCCGGCTCGAATCCCTCGCTGATCATCTCCATGAAGAGATCGAGGGCTTCTTGCGGACGGCCGCTCTGGACAAAGGCAGTGATCATCGTGCTCCAGGAGACCAGGTCTCGGTGTTTCATGCCATCGAACACGGTCTTCGATCCTTGGAGGTGAGCACACTTCGAGTAGAGATCTATCAGCGAGTTTTCCAGCACGAGATCGGGCTCGTTCTTGCTCGTCTCGTAAGTTTCATGGAGGATCCTGACCAGAGCTACAGATGCCAAGCTTCCACACGCTTCGAAGGCTGCAACGAAGCTAAAGTTGTCGGGATGGAAGCCGGCTTGATCCATAGCGGCAAAAACTTTTATGCTCGTCTTGGCTCGGGCATTGATCGTGTATCCAGCGATGAGCAAAGTCCACGACGTGATATCGTGTTTGGGCATTCGATCGAACTCTTCCTGGGATCTCTCCATGCAGCCACACTTGGAGTACAAATCTACGAGAGTGTTACCGAGAGTTTGATCCGGTTCCAGCCCGCTGGTGACAAAGCTCGAGTGGATCTCTTGGCCTCTTTCTAGAGACTTCAAAGCCGAGCAAACGCTAAGCGCAGTGGAGTACGCGACGAGATCCGGAGAAACTCCTTCGTGATCCATGAGAGAGAAGCATCGAAGTGCTCGATCGTTCATGGAGTTTTGGCTGTAAGCAGCCATCATGGTCGTCCAGGTACTCGCTCCTCTCGCTGAAATTTCGCTAAAGAGTTTCTCCGCCTCGATCAACAATCCATTCTCCGCATAGGCCGAGATCATGGTGTTCCACGATACCGTGTTCTTTGCGGGCATTCGATCAAACAAGTTCCTCGCCTCGCCAATGTTTCCAGACTTCGCATATGCTGAAACCATCGAAGTCCACGACACCACGTCCGGGGATGGCATTTTCTCAAACAAATCTCTCGCTCGATGGAGCTCGCGATTGCTAGAAATGTATGCTTGGATCATCGCGTTCCAAGACACGGTGTTTGGATTTGGCATCTCCTTGAACAAGCTTTCGGCTTTCTCCAAATGCCCATTGTGGGAGTATGCGAGGAGCATGACGTTCCAGGAGATGGTGTTGGGATTTGGGATTCTATCAAACAGCCGCTTTGCCTCGTCGATCTGAGCGTTTTGGGCATAGGCTTGCACCATGGTCGTCCAAGACACCACATTTCTGTCTGGCATCCTCTCGAAAAGCTCCCGCGCTCGATGCAATTCTCCGTTCTGGGCAAACATCGCCACCATCGTCGTCCACGCCACAACATTCTTCACGGGCATTCGCTCAAACAACTCCCTCGCCTCGTCGATGTGAGCGCTTTGAGCATACGCATTCAGCATGGCGTTCCAGGACGCAGCGTTTGGCTCTGGAATTCGATCAAACAAACTCTTCGCTTCGTACAAATACCCGTTCTCGGCATACCCCGAGATTATCGAGTTCCATGACACAGTGTTTTTGCATGGAGACCGATCAAACAAGGCTCTCGCTTCGCTGATTTCTCTCTTGCTTGTGTAGGCGGAGATGATGGTGTTCCAAGAAACGGCATCAGGACGAGGAATGCTATCAAAAATATTCCTAGATTCCTGCAGATGCCCGTTACGGGCAAATGCAGAAAGTATAAGATTCCAGGAGAAGACGTTCGGCTGCTCGATCTGGCCGAAAACGGCGAGGGCATCGGCGGGGCTGCCGCACTTGGCGTACATATTGATGAGGAGATTTGCCAGATATCTGTTATGGACTTGAGCACTGGAAGCAATAAGCGCATGAAGATTTTTGGCGCTCGCGAGGTCTTGCGAGTCTGTGCATGACCGAATAAGCGAAGCATAACGAGATCTCTCCGCCGTTGAAGACGTCATAGTAGAGACTCAAATTGTTTGAATTGGCAGATAAATCATTTTGTAAAGAATTTCTATCAGTAAATCAACATGCTTGCAATATAAATTCGATAGCAAATATATATATACTCATTTTTCTCAAAGCTTGACATAGCTATTTTCTGTACAGAGCGAGCGACCGTTCGTTATAATGCTATCAAAACTGTGTGTCTTAATATACATCCTCGGCTATGCGGTGTACTCCTTAATACTTGTAAAAACACTCACAGATCTTTCCTGTAACCCATAATGCTTGCAACCCGTTGCCTGAGCTTTAGCCTCTGATAATGCAGCCTCAAAAGCCCATTGCCAACGACGACGTTGGAGTAAACAAGATGAGTGACCATTGGTGCCAATATGTTCCCAGTCTGTGAGAAGAAAAAAATGGAAGAAAAGTGAACTTTGTGCAAGAGAAAATAGTTAGTCCTTTTTTGTGCATACCTGTAGCCACTCGAATCCAAGGTAGAGTGCCAACAGTGATTCCATGAGGGGAGAGTAAATCTTCTTCATCGTTCTCCTCTCGTTCCACACTGCAAATGGACACTTGTTCTCACAAACTGGACCGGAAGAACGCCGCACACAAACCTTCAAATCGCTTCCTCATGTCTTTCAGAGCCTGTTTTCCACGGGAGACCGGTGCAATCACATAAGTTGGATCTGCAACCAAAGTACACCTTTTTCAGTCAAGCTGGCTATTGTTTACGAAATTTCCAAACCTTTTGGAGCTGTGATCACGTAGTACATAGAGCCCGTCAGTGCCGAGGACAGGACGACGGCCAGTATCTGTGCAAACGGTGCGAAGGACGGTACTATAGCAGTCTGAAAGAAAACAAAACGATTAAAGAGAGGCTCGAATGCTTGCTTGTTTTGCTTACCAGTGCGGACAATCCCTGTGGAGTTTGGTTAAGACTCGCACTGGCTTGGATTGCATGTGAAAAGCCACCCTGAAATTTACATAAGAATTCATAAGAATTCATAAAAATCAGTTTTTTTTTTCTCTAGAAAACCAACAATCAGGAGGTAGAAAGAACCAACCTGAAGAGCAACTCTAAAGAAGATCTCTTCGGAAAGAGCTCCGGCTATAACGATAGGGAGGAACTGCAAACATCGTGAAATAATCAATACTTGAATCGACGAACAACGTTGAGAAGAGAACAAAAAACTAAGTACCTGCCACCCCATTCCCTCGAAATACTCCATAAGTTCTCCGTCCTCGACATCACGCACAGCTCTAGCGGGTGCCCAAGCATTGACAATCGCATCCTATGTGTGATACGCGCAACTTAGAACCGGAGATAGAAATTTTTTCGGAAGAGCTTACGTCTTGGATAAAGAGTAAAGCCAGCATAGGCACGACTGCGTAGCCGAGGCCATCCAACACAGCCTCTGGAGATATCTCAAAGCCACCCCAGCAATCTATACCAATCACCTTACAAATGGCTTGGCCAACAAACGCTAGCCCTGCATACAAGCCTGCGAGCGAGAGCTCAAAGTTAGCCACCATAGCTATGATTCAAGAAAGAGGAGGTCATGGTTTGTGGATTTCTAGAAAGAAAACTTCACACTCACCGAGTCCATACACGACGCGAAACGTTAAGCTAAGTTGCTCCCAGAGAGGCTCACTGGCGTCTTTGAGAAACAGTGCGTCGGGATCCCACTTTGCTCCCTGTGGAAATCAAACAAAACAAACTCAGGAATCTCTCGATCGATAAGAACAAACAGTGAGAACCGACCTCGATGCTTTGGATTCCACTGCTCCTCTCCAGCTTCTTGTCCTCCACATACTCGGGCTCCCGGACCGCGCAAACAGTGGTGGACACCGCCCTCTTTTCCCTGATAGCGTCGGCAGCCGGAGAACAAGAAGAACTACACCACTGTTTGATCGGATTGGATCCAAGGAACTCTTTCCTGGCGACCCATTTAGGATGCGATCTCGCAGAAATCCCAATTCTTGTTCTTGGACGCAGCAGACATTCCATCGCCCAAGAGACCTGGTGTTTCGCTCACAGGAAAATCAGCGCTTGCATGGCGTGAAGCCGCGCCCACGACCAATCCAATTTTACCATCAGCTTCGCAGCTATGCCCCACGCTCGATCGAGAGAGAGAGAGAGATGAGAGAGAGAGAGAGAGGAGAGAGTGAGATAGGCTTAGCCAATCGCTATTGGGCACACAGATTGCGAGCAATGCCACCTCTGCAAAACCCAGCCACGTGTAAAGCGACATTCCGGCATATCCTACAATATGCCGCCATTCTCTCCTACCTGGCAGCAAGCCCTAAAACCAAAGATTCACGGCCCTCCATGTGTCACCCACCGTGCCACGAGTGCTCCACGTGTGAATGCTGACGGGGCCAAGCATATTCGCCTCTCTTCTAGGGTTGTAGAGTTCTAAGATCAGGGTTTTGGGAGCGCTGCTCGCTTGGCCCGATGTTCGTGAAGGTAGGGCATCCCGCGGATCTCAACAAGAACACAGAGTGGTTCCAGTACCCTGGAATCTGGACGACCTACATCCTCATCATCTTCTTGTCATGGCTTTTGGTGCTATCGCTGCTGGGATGCTCCGTGGGAACGGCATGGACGATTGTCAATCTGGTCCACTTTGGAGTAAGCCTTCAATTTTTTGTTCCCCTCTTTGGTTTTTTTTTTCTTGTTTCTATGGTTTTTTCTAAGATCACGAGAAAATGCGTGCGTAGGTGACATACAACTTCTTCCACTGGAAGAAGGGGACGCCGTTTGCCGAGGACCAAGGCCTATATAGCAAATTGACGTGGTGGGAGCAAATGGATCACGGGCGGCAGCTCACGCGGAACCGCAAGTTCTTGATGGTGGTGCCAGTGGTCTTGTAAGTTTTCTCTTGGTCTTGCTTTCTTTCGATCGAGCTCTATCTTGTCTCACGCAGTGATCTTGCTTGATCTATTCCATTGCTTCACGCAGTGAAAGTCTCTTGTTCTTACTTATTCCATTGCTTCCGAGCGAGTTCTATCTTTTCACGCAGTGAAAGTCTCTTGATCCATTCCATTGCTTTCGAGCGAGAGCTCTATCTTCTCACGCATTGTTCTTACTTGATCTTCGAGCAAGCTCTATCTTCTCATGCAGTGAAGTCTCTTGTTCTTGCTTAATCTTCCATTGCTTTCGAGCGAGCTCTCATGCAGTGAAACTCTTTTTCCTCTAGGTATCTCATCGCGTCCCACACCACGGACTACAAGAACCCTTTCCTCCTCCTCAACACCATCGCGGTGCTCGTGCTCGTCATCGCAAAGCTTCCTCACATGCACAAGGTTCGCATACTTGGCATCAACGCTGACTATCCAACTTAGCGACGAACAAAGAAGCTTTTAGTTTTTAGAAAGAGCGCTTGTACATGACACAGCATATGTATAAGATGAAGCTTTCATGTTTCTTTTCGAAACCATCCTTCGATCAAACTTTTAACTTAGCCCTATCTAAGCCTCGAAAAACAAAAGAGAATGAGAAAAAAATCTCCTCGTCACCTTGAACATATCTTCTTGCTTTGCCTTCCGATCGTTTCCGTGACTTCATTTATCTCCAGATCTTCGCCATCCTTTCGTTTGCCTCGTATCTTCTCCAATCTAGCAGCTCGCATCTCCCTTCCATCTTGCGACTCATCTTCAAGATCCACGTCCACCGTCTTTCGGCCTCGCGGCTTTCGTTGCCGAGGACGCTTTGCCTGTGAATCCTCCACTCTCCCGGCCCTCGTTCTAGCCCGCTTCTTGCAACCACCACCACCGAAATCCTTCTCACTGGTAACGTCCACCATCGAGTTTCGTCTACAGCGCTCAACTCCTGGCTTTCCGGGACTCTCGAGATCTTCTTCCAGCTCTTCGTCCAGCTCGAAGCTACTAGCTTCCACGTCTTGGCCAGGATCGTCACTCCCCGGGGGCAATTGCAAGACAGTGTCACCACTCTCCACCAGGAGGATGTCGCTCACTTCCAGCCCCGGCCGCTCTTTCTTCCTCTTGGAGAATCGGGGCAGCAGCGTTTTCTTGAGCACCACCTCCCTGTGGAAACTCTCCTTGCTCTCGGGATGCAAAGCCATCCACCGCCGCCAGCACTGGTTGTCCGTTCTCGGCGACATCACCTCCGCCACCGACGACCACTTATGCATCCCAAACTTCTCCACGGCCTCCTCCAGCTTCTCGTCCTCCTCCGGACTCCACATATCGAAGCTCAGCTTTGGATCCAAAACGTTCCGCCACCTCTCTCGGCACTGCGTCTCTGACCGGCCGGGGACGTGAGCCGCGACGGACTTCCACTGGTGAGGCCCGCACACCATCACGGCACACTTGAGGCGCTTGTCCTCCTCCAGCGACCATCGCCCGCGCTTCTTCCCCCTCAAAACTTCTTTCCACCTGTGCATCGCTTGCTGCCCCGTTCTTCCCTCCAGGCACGCCGCTACGTTCTGCCAGTCCTTCTCGCCACACATGTCCACCGCCAGCTTGAGCTGCTCGTCATCCTCCCGGCTCCACTCTCTCAGCGATAAGTTGGCGTTCAAGCTCCTTTGGTACCGGATCAAACACTGCGCTGGAGTTCTGTAAGTCCCGAGCTTCTCGGCCACACTCTCCCACTGAGCGAAGCCAAACTCCTTGGCAATGCTCAGGAGCTGGAGGTCCTCGGCTTTGCTCCAGGGCCCGTGGTTAATGAGCTTGTCCTCGAAGTTGATCCACCTGGCCTTGCACTCCTTGGCCGTTCTAGCCGGAAGCGAGCCCCTGGAGACGATCTCCCAGTCCACCACATCGATCAGGTTCCTCACCTCCGCATCCGAGATGTTGTCGATCTCCTTCTCGCGCTCTTCCAGAGAGACTCCTGTTTTCAAGTCCAGGACCACCGCTTCCATAGCCTGGACAAGGAGATGCTGCTGGACTTGCATCTTTACCGTGCTGTGCAGGGCCTCGCTCTCCTTCGGCGACCAGCTTTTCGAGCACTTGACGCTGTTCTTGAGCTCCCGGAAGTTGTCCACGTCCTTGTTCTTCTCGGGGCCGGCCACGACTCGGTGCTTCTTGAGCCTGGAAGTGGAGTAGCTTAAGGTGGCCAGGGACGCGACGAACCTCGCAACGCAGCCCCGGTCGAATGCTCGCCGGTTGCAGTGCTTCTCGAATCCCATGAGCGTCTTGACGCGCCTCTGGATCTCGGCGTTCTCCTTTTTTCTTTCCTCCACTCGCAGAAGCAAGTTACGAAGATGTTCTTGGCACTGCTTGTTCTTGTCGAGAGAATGCTGGAGGAGCTGCGAGTTGTAGTCCAGTACCTGGGTTTCCTGCTGTTCCACACCTTGAGTTTCTTGCTGCTCATCCAGTCCCTGAATTGGCTGCTGCTCCACCCCACTGCTTTCCACTTCCAATCGCTTCTTACCCTCGATCTTCTCACAGACGCTCCGCAAGGACTGCAAAACGGCCTCGTCCGCCGCCTCTCCGTCTTCCTCTCCTCCGTCCTCGTCCGCCGGATCTCCGTCCTCGTCTTCCAGGAATCCATGGCGGGCCACAAACGCACACAGCTCCTCATCATCTACCAGATCATCATCACCAGTATCATCACTTTCCATTCTCTTTGAAGGGAAGGGGGGGCGCTCACCTCATGCCATCGCCGCGCTACAAAAGCCCTAGCCAAAGGTAAAAAGACCTAAACAATCAAAGGAATATTCAGCTACATTTCATTTTAATTTAAATTTAAATTTTGTTTAATTATAAATCATTTAACAAAATATACTAACGATGAAACTAAATAGTATATTTTTTAATATATATTTTGTTTTCTTTTTAAAATTTAAAATTAAATTCTAAATATATAACAATTATGTAGACTAATAGTATAATAATAACTATGATTATAATTTTTATATTAATATCAAATTATTAAAAACTAAATTAATTTATACTAACACTTTTAACATGTTTTAAATAGCATCAATAACAATGCTTCTATCTCTCCACTCAAATATTTTTCCAAAGTATGAAAATGAATAATGTTGAAATGAACAAAGAAATTATGATTTTTATTTCTATATTATCTTTGATAACATTATGATAAAAGCCCGCTATATTTATCATGAATAATATATTTTGAGGTGGGACTTTAATAAAATATGTTATTTTATAAGTGTGTTATGAGAACAAATTCAATTAACATATACACTACACTATTTAATGTCATGCTTTTCAATTATTAATTAAAGATTTATTTCTTATTTCTTTAATATTAATATTTTATTTTAAAAAACTAATGAATTTTTTTCTTGCAACTAGAATAAAAACTATAAAAAGAAACCTAAAGGGAATGTATACTATATTTTAAAATGGGCATTTTAAATATGGTTTACATTATAAATGTATTACATTTTACTATATAACATATATCTGAAAATCAAGATATATGAAATTTCTAATTATCAAATATAAACATAATTTATCCCATTTACTAGTATTAGAATAGTGGGATTTCAATAATTTCAATCCATTTTTATATATAGCCTAGGGTTTTTGGGCTAATTGAATATACACATTTATGTATTCTATGCAATCAAATTTGTAGTTTTAGCTTTTGCATTATTGAAATCTCTATTATTCTTATAGTTTTATTTTTCATTTATTCTCTTTTCCTTTTCTAGCTTCCTTTTCCTATAACTCTAGAGTAGCAATTAATGTAGTTGCTTGGTGTTATGTAATAACAATTGAACAATTAAACTTAGTTAATGGTGGCATTTATTAGTTTTGATGTTAATCCTCACGTTCGGCTAAAGTTCTTTTTCATTAGAATCCTAAAAATTATGTGTACCATTGGTTCAATCATTTTACAGTGATTACTACCTATGATTTTTAGGATGATGCTTAATGTATATACGAATTTTCCATATGTTTCAAAGGGATAGCATTACAATGGTATAATGATTTGAGTGTGTGGGTTAAAACTTTCTCTTAGACTTAGATATCTTCAAATGTGCAATTAAATATGTTAACAATTATGATGATACTTTCCAACAATTGCATCATTTGTTAAAAGTTGTTTAAATTAATTATGCAATATAGTGTTTGTTTCCAAAGCCTTTTACTTCATATGGAGCCAAATAATCAAATTAAGGGCTAATATTCTGACAAAATCTTGTGAAATTTGTGCATACATTTGCCCTAACTACATTTACAATGCTTTTCAATTAGCATAACACTATTAAGACACCTCTCTCACTTGTCACTCACTTGTCACTACATATATTTTAGCTACTTTGCCATGTTTGGAAAGCAACATTAGAGTTGGGATTAAGCAAGGAAGTTTAACTGATATTTTGATGATGTGCAAATAGAATTTAGAAGTGGCTCAAGACAGTGTAAAAAAGTTTTTCAATAACATTGCCAATTCTAAATGGGAGATATTATCTTTGTGTGGGTGATTTTTCTATTAAGTAATTGACCAAACACATTAATACTTTTGTGGAGAGAAGAGTGATGAATTTTCTCATAGACATGTTAGTCTATATGATCAAACATGACTATTAACTATGGTGAAAATTCATTTGATATTTAATATCAACCAATTGAAATGTATTGATGTATATAGCTGTGGATGATATACCAAGTGCAGATTACCAATGCATTATAGTTTCTTTCATGTTATCTTAGAATTGTTGTATTGCTATGATTTGCTTTCTAGATGGACCCTGATGTATGAGCATTCTGCAAGAATATCTAAAGAATTTGGCACAATAACTAAAGAGATCTTCATACTAGTTTTTAGCATCCAAGAACAATGGCCAGCTATATCTAAATGAGCATCTTGGTTACTGTCCTGCTTGAAGGAGAAGATGGACCATGCTTGGCTGCAGGATTTAAGTTGTAGTCGTTGCTCCAGCTCTCCAGCCTCAGCCTCCAGCTGCTGGACAATGAGAGAACTCATTTGGTCATGATCCTTCCATTGCTTCTCAGGTGTGGCATTCATCATCGTCCAGGTGACAAGTCATTTCTCGTAGTTTCCAGGTTTCCATGGTTTGGCCCAAGATGGTGTCAAAAGCCCTAAAAATTCAAAAGAAATCTTCGCGCGTTCTTTAAAGAGTTCGGTCCGATCGATTTGCGGAGAGAAAAAATAAAAAAGGAACAAGGATATAAGCGTCGCGTCCACCTCAACTTGGCAAAATATGTACAGCCCGTTTAGAAAGTAACCAGTCCCTATGATGATGTCGACTTCGAGAGCTGTAACGTTTCCACCATCTCCATCCAAAAAAAAATGCCACCACCAGCACCGTCACCGCCACCACCACCACTGTCCCAAAACTTTCACCACCATCACCACCACCACCACTGTCCCAAAACTTTCACCACCATCACCACCACCACCGTCGTCGCCGTGCCTTCCATCCCCAGCGTTAATCCTACGTCTCTCTCTCCGCCACCACAGTAGCCGAGGAATCCTCTCCGCCACCAAAGTAGCCGATGAGTTCTCTCCTGCGCCACCGAAGTAGCCAATGAGTCCTCTCCTCCGCCACCACACCACAGTAGCCGATGAGTCCTCTCCTCCGCAGCCGATGAATCCTCTCCTCCGCCACCGCAGTAGCCAACGAATCCTCTACCACAGTAGCCGATGAATCCTCCCCACCAGAAACATCAAAAAGCCTACCGCCACCACCGTCACAAAAACCTCTTTTCTCACTGCTTCTTGGGCAAGTATCTCTGCTCGGACGCCTTGCCCTTCTTCCACTTGTTGGGGCCTGCCTTCTTGTTGCAAGTCCCGTTCCTGCCGTCGAGCCGCTTCTCCTCCTCTCCCTTCACCCCGCCGCGCAAACCCAAAACGTTGCCGCCGCTGGACGACTCCTCTGCGTTGCCAGCTTCCAGGTTCCCTACGCTCGCTACGCCGCCCGACTCTAAAGAATTTCCTACACTTCCTGCTACTTCACTGGCGTCTGGAGCCTCCTCCTTGTCAGCTTCACCATTTCCGGCCTTGTCCACCTCCGGATGACCGTCAACACCACCTTCTGGGCCAGCTTCCAGTTTCTGAACCTCAGGCGTCTCACCATCGGCCAGTGACTCCTCCAGAACCGCGAAAACCACTGCCTCTGGATCTGATATAGCCTTGCGCCATCCTGGAAAGAAAGAGCGTTTAGACGAGTCGTGACACAGAACTTAGAACTTACTGTCAACGAGGAACGCCATGCATGCCTCCGCCACCCTGGCAAACTCTTGCTCGTCACCTGTCGCCGTGGCCTCGCGTTCAGCACTTGCTGGCGTCTGATTCTCCAACGAGCACTCCTCAGCCGCTGGCATTTCGTCCGCTTTAGTACCACCGTCGCCTTTCAAGCTCACGGGCGTCAGCAGCTCTTTCTCCAAGGAGTCAAAACGCTGGGAAGACGGCCTCAAAGCTTCCAATGCACGGGCATTGAGCGGTATGCTCAAGGTGCCAATCATAAGCTCCTCTTGGTCCAGATACAGTTGGTCCTGATGAACAACTCGAGAATCATCGAGTCCTTCAGCATTTGGAACCTGCTCCGCTTCACCTGTGCTAGTGAGCTTCTCGCCTGGTATGGTCTCTCCTTGAGCGTGTTCGTTGAGGATTCCATCAGGATTGCTATCAGCTTCTATAGCAGTAGAGGCGTCGCAAACATTGTCTGCATTGTTCTTTCTCGTCCAGCAAGTGTAGCCGTTTGCTCCAACATTCGCACCTCTGTTGCCCCTCGTATATCTTGGCTTGTACTTCGGAAAACTCGACTGCTTCTGTTCAGCTTGAGTGTGCACAACAAAGCGCCTCCGCTGGGGCCTGCTGACGGTAAACTCTTCCTGGGAATTGTCGGGTTCCTCTGCCCACCTAGCAGTACCGGTTTCAACCTTCTCTATATCTGAATCCTCGGCGCCCGTAGCTAAAGAAGAAAATCCACCAACTGCTGCGGATTCTACGTCCTGCTGTAAGTCGGTGTCGTCGTTTTGTATGCCAGTGTCGGGTGGATTACCTCCAGCTCTCTTCTCCCTTTGTCTTTGCTTTTTTAGACGCTTCCTTTCCAGTTCCCTCTCGCGCCTAACAGAAACCATGCCCGTTCAGATATATATACATATATATATATAACAAAAATATCAAGATCGTTACTTCTTCTGAGCAGCTTCCTCTTCTTCGACGAGGGCTCTCTGGATGTCAAGCGCTTTCTTATCCTTTTCCGCATTCCAAGCTTTCACCTGAACAACAAACAATTACAGTTTTGGTACAAAAACCAGCAGACAGTACCAAGTTATCCTCGATGAGAAAAGCCAAAGTTGCTATAGCGTTCTTCTCTTCTCCATGTGGAGGGTCCTTTTGATACACGTAACGTGCCACAGCCACACTCGTCCCACCGATCAGGAAAGTCTTCTCACTTGCGTCGTCCAATACTTTGAACAGAAGCTCGGAAGCCACATTTGCTGCGGCATTGACCCGTATATCTTCCTGAAGTGCGACGTATCCCAGTGACAAAGCCATGAAAGTTTTGACAGCCTTACCAGTTGTCTTCCAGCTCTGAAGTAGGCCTGTGTCAGGTATGCAACACCGGACATCTGCATGTGTTTTTGTAGGGCCTGCTCGATATTAGTCCCAGTAATCTCCTGCAGCTAGCTTTTAGTCCCAGATTCAAGAACCAATAACAAAGAGACTTACATCTACCCGAGAAGACTTCAAGGAGAGGATCTCAGAAGCTTGGGCTGGAGATAACTGCAACAAGTCAAAGTATGATCAGTACCTCCGGGAACGTAAGCTATTAGCGCACGAAACACCTGCGCCCAGAATTGGCCAATGGCATCCCTTTGCTTCGACAGCTCGTCCTGCACAAACTCAATACTCAAGCCTTGTATTCAGCAAAACGAACCAAAGAAAAAGAGAAAGGAAACAGAGCTTCGTACTCACCTTGTCTGGATGGAGTGTTTTCCGATGAAATCTCATGTGCCGACGACAATTGAAAGGAGAGAAAAACTCCCGGACGCACTTGTCGCATTTGTGTGTCTGGATACCCGTGGGTACGAACCATGTTGTTGGAAACAAACCTATAAGGAATTAAACAAGATGAGCGAGATGAAATAAATGACACAGACTCTCCTAAACCTCTCCAACTATCACTCACCATTCAACTCATAATCTCCTCGCAGCAACGCTAAGAATGCCTGGGGTACTCTAAGCAACTTAAACCCATTCCCCAATCCAGATACTCCCCTCTCCACACCCACACCCGACCGGAGGCTTTCCGATCTACTATCCCCTCTCAAATCCAGCCTCAATCCCTGGGACAACTTACCTTCCCCGAAGCGATCCATGCCTCGGCAAGACCTCTGGAAGCGCTGGATTTCTTGCGAAAATATGCCCGAGTAGGGTCAGCTTTGGCCCAGCGCCGTCGCGGAATCATCATCACTCGGCGAAATCCGCGATAGCTTGCGAAGAACAGTGTCGGAAGTGTCGAGCTTCATCGCGGCGTCATCGGCTGGGGGCCTAGGACAAATATTTCCAGCTATCCGAGAGAAAAGATCGAGGAAATGAGGAGAAAGGAAATGCGATCACAGCATTCACGATACCTGGGAGAAAAATCCGGACTCCGCAAACCTAGCCGGAGCATCGTCTCCCTGTCATGAAAGAAGCGGAGTAAAGGCGCCACGAGCGGTGGGATCGATCGATCGAGCGCCTCTCAAACCTAACCCTATTCCAGAGGAAGCACGCCAACAAAGTTTTAAGCAATGCTAGAGAATGCTAGAGAATATGCCACTTCCCGCCCAAAATGATTTCTTCGTCTTCTATATATCATACAAACAAACAATCACCTCTCTCTTTTCTTTTCTTTGCTCTTCTCTTTCTCTCGCTCTATCTCTCTCTCTATCTCTCTCTCTCGCTCGCTCTCTCTCACTCTCCCTCACTCAGCTCGCTCGCTCGATCGCTCACACGCCCACCCATTTCACCCACGCGAAGAACTTCCATAGCCCAAAGGGGAGGCCATAGTCCCTTTGGAATGCCGGCTCGTTCTTAGCGCTCCTGGGACGAGACCACACGTAGATCCCGCGCTCTTGCTTGCTGCCAGGAACAGTGTTGTCCAGGAAAAACGCCACCACGAAGGCTATCACCATATGCATCGATAGCAGGCTGTTAAAGATGAAGTTCACCTGGAAATAACACACACACACACACACACACACACACAAGATGGCGTTAGAACCCATTCTCAAGATCGTTCCGGGACGAGATAAGCTATCCAAAGAACAAGAAACATAACAAAGAATCTAGAGACAAGAACTTTGACACAAGCGAAACAAGACAAAGCAAACAGGCTGGAGAAAACTTGCAAGCGGACGAACTAACGATGCTGGAAAGGACTGACTTAAAACTCAGGCTATAAAGACGATGACTGACAAGAGCGAAGGAATCAAACAAAATAAGGAACGGGGAGGAAGCAAACTTACTGTTCCGCTCTTGGTTTGTATGGGCCCGTGTGTAGCAACGGAATACGGGGCAAGAAAGAACTGGACGGCGTTGCTGCCAGCGTTATACTGCTGGAAGTACGCAGGCACCGATAGAGACAGGAAGAGCGAAAGCCCAACGATGAGAACGTTGCGGGAGCTCCCAGTTTCCGTGTAGCGGAGATACGACAGCCCCCAGGCTGTCAGCATTGCCCACATAATGCACAGGAGCGCAGCCACCATAACTTGGGGAATCGACGCAAGAAAGGCTCCAACTTTGCCTGAAAAGCGAAGGAAACTTTATGAGCATGGCAAAGCAAGGAAGAAAATGATGCAGAAGCTTACCTATGAAAGACAAGGCTATGAGAACGAATGCACCGAATGTCACGGCGTGACGGCTTCCCATTCTCGTCACCGCGATCGTGTGTACGTTTTCAGTGAGAGTCGTTGCTCCGGTTCCGATTCCCCACAGACCAGCCAGAGCACTCGTGATGCCTTCCAGGCCTATGGCCCGACTTACAAGTCCAGGGGTTGGAGCTCTTGAAGCAACCAGAAGGGACGTTGCATGATAAGATCCTACCTGAAGAAAGCAAACCGAATACTTGTCAAGAGAAGACATGACACCGGAACTCTCGAAAACTTACCGAGTCCACTGAAGCTATGATAGAAGCAGCAATCATTACTGCCCCCGTTCTGAGGCTGAAAGTCGGAGTTCCCCATTGGAACGGATAAGGGAATCTTACCCAGGCTGCGTCTCTGAGGGCATGTGAAGCGTCGGTTCTACAACTTCTCATTGTATGGATGTGCCGCTGGCAAGCCGCTGAAGGATTCGCCATGTCCATCTTACAACCTTTATAGTTGTAAGCTCCCGTTTCAGTTAACAAGAACGCGTAGGCCCAAGTTGTTGCCAAGCCGAGAGGCACCTGTTTTGAAGGATTTAATCCAGCTGAATCATAAAGAAAGTGAAACTCACAGCATAAATTTGGAAAATCCTATGCCCGAAAATTGAAATCTTCCGAAGATGCTGCAAACAGACGCGTCTGAGAAAATTTAGGAGAAGAACTTAACGCAAACAAACCAGAGCGAAGATGATGACCACAATAATCTGTGGTATCCCAATTTCAACACATGAACCAACAGTCGTGAAACCATACGTAAAGAATGCCAAACCAACGGCTGCTACAGTTGGCGAGACAATCACAGGATTTATAACTCTGGAGACATAACCCATCATCAGTTAAGAAGATTGAAGACATACATACCTAAGCAAAAATGACATTAGGCCACTGTAGCCAGCAATGATCTGGAACAACGAGGAGATTATGACGGCACCTTGTAGTTCCTTCATGGTGTGCTTGAACCTCTACAATAAACAAACAAACTCAAGGAAAAATCAACAGAGGAGTATCCTTACATTTCCAGGTACGTTGGAAAACTCTGGCGAGTTCGCAATCACCAAAGCTGGAGCCAGGTACACAAACGACGGGCCTTGTATTAGAGGCAGCCTTGATCCGAAGCACAAATGAATAAGCGTCGTGATCCCGGAAACAAGCAATGTAGTGGAAACCACTCGCGATGTATCATTCTGAGGATACAGAAAACAAAAGAATGCAAGAAAGCTTGCTATCATTGACAAGAACACTCAGCGGAGAAGTATAAACGACTTACATCATTTCCGCCTATGAGTGGGACCAAAACCAGCGGCACGAGAATCAGCGATCCAATGATAGAAAAATAGTGCTGAAGCCCGTAGAGGATCAGTGGAACTGTAACAACAAAAATCAGTTCGTGTATGTCACAAGAAAGGCAGCACAAGAAAAATGATGAGCACCGACAACTTAACAGCAACTCAATCAGCTGAAGAACACCAAGGTAAACAAGCAAAAGTCTTACCGAGTCCGGGATTTTCCCTGATTTCGTATTTCATATGAGTCTGCTTGATCGATCCACCATCGTCTGGATCTTGGGACGACATGACGTCAGACTCCCTGTCCCTGAAATTCTTCATCGGCTCGATCCGAATGGGCTCGCTAATTTTCCTCACACCATTACCAGCAGCAGCAGCCACATTCGTCACTGGAACTGTCTCAGAAATCGCTGGGATCCCATTCTTTTCCTTGCCGGCCGCGGCTACCGAATTCCTAAGTCCATTCCCGTTCAATGCCGCTGGAGCATTCGTTCCAGCGGTAGCTCCACCAGCAGCATTGCCAAAAACTCTCTCCCTGTATGCCGGCGGCTTTGGAAGCTCTTGCTCCCCAGTCGAGAAAGTCCCAGTGGTCTCGCGACTCTTGTAGCCTGTTCGTCGAGCCCAAGAGCCGAGCATGCTGGGATTGTAGCCGTGATTCGCCGGAAGCGGCTCCATCACCGTGGGTGGCCAGGCACCGGGCTTCTTACCAAGAGACGGCGACTCTGGATCGTTTTGAGACCTCGAAGGAGGAGACCCCAGCATCTTTCCTCTCGCTCAAATTGTTCTCCTCTTGCGCAAGATCTCGCCAGGCTTCCTCCCCTCCAACTCTAGAAATCGCCCAAGATTTCTGGAGCTAAGACCTGTTCCTGGCCCGGATTGATCCCACTCCCGGTCACGAATCACATGGGTTGCTCGAGCTGCCAAATGGGTCCCCGGAGCCACTGCCGGCGTCATCAGCACGTTGGAGCAGCTGCATTGTTTGCCTGGCTGCCAGATCTATCTATCTATCCTCCTATTCTTTGTTTTTTCCCTCGTCGCCCACTTTGCCTGGTTTGCTGGCGCGCAGATCAAGCTGGCACCCGCGAGAGATCAGCGCAAAACAATGCGATAGAACGCGCAAATCTGCGAAATGGAATGGTTAGCTCACCTCGTCTCGAGGCCGCCGCCACGCCTTTACCGCATGAATGAAAGGATGAATCAGAGAGCTATGGCCGCGACAACGATCTCGCAGCTAGAGGGGTAGCAGCGCCTCCTCGCCCGCCTCTGTCTTGTTCCGTGATGGCGACGCAAGAACAAAGAAAAGAAAGAGGAGAAATTGGCCGTTTGATCTGATCAGGCCCTACCGCGGCGCTCCCCACCACAACAGCAGACGCGCACGAACACGAGGGAGCACCGATTCGACGCCGCGATCGCCATAGCTCGGAGCTCTCCGCGCGATCAAAATATCTGGGAGAGAAAACCTAGCTCCTACCTAGGGATCTTTCTTTCTCTCTTTCTTTGCTCGTTCTTTCTTTCCTTCTTTCTTTCTTGCCAGACTGGTGTGTATCGTGTAGCTATAGCGTATATGTTGTGGCTACTACTACGGTATCGAGTAGCGGACAAAGAATATGCCCTAGGATAGCAATGGATATTCTTGGAATCTAACCGTTGGCTGCTGTACATGAGCACTGCTCTGAGAATCGATCGACGCGAGAATCTCATCCAACTCCTTCGATCCTGCAAGAATCTCACCGACGCGCGGCGGGCTCACGCTCGGATCTTCGAGGAGCTCGGCGATCGCGCTGCCACCGGCGACGTCTTCCTCGCGAATTCGCTCGTCCAGAGCTATGGCCGCTGCGGCAGCGCCGAGGATTCGCGCTGGGTCTTCGACGCGACGAGGGCCAAGAATGCGCATTCCTGGGTCTCGATGCTCGCGGCGTACGCGCATAACGGGCATCTGGACGAGGCCAAGAGATTCTTCGCGGCGATGCCCGACAAGAACAGGAGCGATCCCGTGGCTTGCAATATCCTCATCGGCGTCCACTCGCAGTGCGGCGAGATCGGCGAGGCCAAGAGGCTCTTCGATCAAGCGCCGGATCGCACAGTCGTCTCCTACAACACCTTGATCCAGGCGTTTGCTCGTAGCGGGCATTTGATTTATGCGAAGTGGATGTTCCATTGCATGCCCGAAAGAAGCATCGTCTCCTGGAACTCCATCATCAGTGCGTGTGGAGAGCACGGCCTGGTCCAGGAAACCAAAGAAATCTTCGATAGAGCACCGCAGCGGAATGTAATCTCCTGGAACGCGATGATCCAAGCGTATTCTTCGAGCGGGCATCTGGGAGATGCGTCTGCTCTGTTCCAGACGATGCGAGAGAGATCCGTAATATCCTGGACAGTGATGATCGTCGGCTACGCTCACAGCGGCGAGCTCGAATCTGCCAGCGCCGCGTTTGATAGGATGCCGGAGCGCGGCGTCGCCGCCTGGAACGCGATCATCAGCGCACACGGCCAGAGCAAGAATCTTACCGCCGCCGAGAGGCTCTTCGATTCGATGCCGGAGCGTAGCACCGTGTCGTGGAACGCGATGCTCCAGCTCCTCGCGGACAGCGGCGAGATCGATCGCGCGAAGGAGCTCTTCGCTAGGGTTCCTCGTCGCGACGTGATCTCGTGGAACACGGCGGTGAAGCTCCACGCCGAGCTGGGAGACGTGGACGGCGCGATGGGCCTCTTCCACAAAATGCCGCAGTGGAATTCCATATCGTGGAACATCCTCTTCCACGCGTGTGGCAGCGTGGAGGAATCTAAGCATCTGTACGACACGATGCCCGTCCACGGCATCGAATCCTGGACGACCATGCTGTCCACGTATGCCGTCGGCCACCACCTGGAGCCCGCGCGCGCAGTTTTTGAAAAGATTCCCCAGCGCAGCTTGGTGACGTGGAATGCGATGCTGACTGGGTATGCCACGTCAGGGCATCTAGAGCGCGCGTTAGGGTTCTTCGCGGCGATGCCCGAGAGGAATGTAATCTCCTGGAACGCGATCGTGGAGGCGAACGGAGGGGAGGGGCGGATCGATGTGGCGAGGGCGGCATTCGATTCCATGCCCCATCGCGACGTGGCGTCGTGGACGGTGATGCTCCAGGCGTGCGCGAGCAATGGGAGCTTGGATCGCGCGAAAGAGCTCTTTGATTCGATGCCGGAGAGGGATGTGGTATGCTGGAACGCGATGCTGGCGGCGTATGGCGGCGGCGGCAGCTCGATCGAGGCGGCGGAGGGGATCTTCGCGGCGATGTCAAGGCGCAATTTGGTGTCGTGGAACGCGATGATCCAGGCGTACGCCGCCGGCGGGCGGATCCGAGACGCGCAGCGCGCATTCGATTCCATGCCGCGTGGAGGCGACGATCCGCGCGCCAATCTCTTTGCCCTGACCGCGATGCTCGTCGCCCACGCCGCCGCCGGCGACGTCCATCGCTCCAAGGCGCTCTTCGACGCCAACAACAAGCACGACGTGGCAGTATGGAACGCGATGGTGGCAGCGTACGGACAAAGTGGCCAGGTGGTTCAGGCGAAGGCGGTTTACGACAAAATGCCCGAGGTGAGCTCGGTGTCCGAGACCACCATTTTAACCGTGCTTGCGCAGAACGGTCACCTGTCCGCGGCCCGGGAGTGCTTCCACTCCATGGCCGAGACGACCATCGTTGCTCAGACCGCCATGCTAGCGGCGTACGCCCAGAACGGGCATGTCAAGGAAGCCAAAGAGCTCTTCAACTCCATGCCCCGGACGAGCTTTGTGTCGTGGAACGCCATGGTCACCGCTTATGCCCAGAATGGTCATCCCCGGGAGGCCCTGGAGCTCTTCCACTCGATGGTTCTTCACGGCGAGAGGCCGGATGAGATGACTTTCTCGAGTATCCTGCTCGCTAGCAGCCACAACGGAATGGCGGACAGGGGCTGGAGCTACTTTGCGTCGATGGTGCCGGACTACTGCGTGAGGCCCGGGAGGGATCACTTCTACTGCATGGTCGATGCGTTTGGACGGGCCGGACGCTTGGCCGAGGCAATGGAACTCGCGGAGAGAATGCCGTTTGAGGCTGATGTTGTGGTTTGGAGGAGCCTGCTGGGGGCTTGTCGGACGAGCCGGGACGTGGAGACCGGAGCTTTGATAGCCCATAAGTTGTTTGAAGCGGATCCCGGGGACTCGGTGGCCTACACTATTCTTGCTGGGATGTTTGCCACCGCTGGAATGAAAGACGAGGAAGCCAAAGTGATGAAGCTGATGGAACAAAACTGTGATAACAAGAACCACCAAGTGAGTCAGCCACGACTGCTCGAATGATAGATTCTTACCTCACTAGAACAGTTAACTGGAACGAATTGATATCGTTGATGGCGATCACAAAATGGTGGTAACCATTCTTATACCTGTACATTAACTAACTCGCGCTAATCAAAGCAGCTGCCAGCTGCTCTTCTAGGAATCTCACCCTCTCTACCTGAGTGAAGAATGCTGTGAATAACAAAACTAGCATACCAGTAATGTTGTTGCAGCGTTGGTTCGTCATAGCTTTAGTGCCGAATCTCCCGGAATTTCTTGTTGTCAAGACAGGCAAACTATTCACCTGTGAGCTCGAGATGAAATGCCGAATCTGGACGTCGGACTCACGTATGCGGTCCGTCAAAACCTCAATCTTCCCGTACATAAAATCAATTGTTTCCTGGGACCTGGCGTTGGCACTTAAAAGCGCGGCGTTTTCCTGAAATTACGCAGTCAGTCGGCAATTGAGAAGTAGCTCTCGAGGTTGTAGTTGTTTTTACTGACAGCGAAAAGGAGCTTGTTGACACTCTTGGTATTCATCAGCTGTGAAATACATTGCTCCAACACATGCTTCAACTGGATTTCCGTTTCCGTGAGTTCTGTTATTCTGCAAGGGGAAAAGTATGTAAGTCTGCGAAAGGCAATGGAAAACAGTTTTCACCTTGAATAATATGCGTCAGAAAACTTTCTCCTGTCGAGATTACACTGCAAACAATAAAGTTATACATCAGTTGCAATTATATATCCTACACTGACATCTACCGCAAAACAAAGGCTATAACAATCACGACCCACCTGATGCCTGCTACAAGTAGAACCTCGTCCTTCTCAGCCTATATTCTTGATAGAAATTCTCCTTACTACACTAGTACTACCCCCCAGACAACACATATTGTAACGAGCGGGTTAGCCTCCCTCTAGCTATCCTCACAGCCCAATCAGATCCACAAGCTTTATGAACGACCACCATAGCAGATCATAAACCATTTCGAAGCAGGAGATGCTTCTCACCTGTTGGTCAATCTCATCCATTCTCTCAACTTCGTCTGTATATCTTCCCTTTGGTTCGAGTTGCTGTCGCGCACTACACTCACTTTCCTTCTCTAAAGTCAGACACTCGACCCCGTTAGTTTGCTTATCACTGACGCCCAGCATGGCCGTCCACATAAAGTCTTTTGCTTCCTGCATCACCTAGTTAGAAGTCTCTCCAGGAAAACAATGTCAAGTTTCTTACTTGGATGGCAGACAAGACTAAAGATCGGCAGTCTTTAAAAACGTCCTCCAGAATCCCTGCATGTGCTATACCCACGACCGCCTCCTTCTCCAAGTGTGCGACGTGTTTCTCCAGCTCTTGCCGAAAGAGCACTTCTTGCAATAAATCCTCCTGAAAAACAAAAATTAAGAAATTCTAAAACCATGCGCGAGCGGCTACCTCTAAGCATTTCTTTTCTAACATTGAAGAGTAAAGCTCTGTCCTCATTCGTGTCAGCTCCTCGTCCTGTTTAAAACCATAATCACAAGCCCTTCAATTCTAATTGTTACCTTGGAAACGAGGGCTTGCTGCAGCACGTCATATTGTGTCTGTAAATCAGATGATTCAAACTCATCCTACATAAACAGATGAATCAGCCACAAAACTGAAACTGAGTAAGAAATAAACTTACAGCCAAATTCTTTACGGCAATATCAGTAGCAGAAGACATTGAATCCGTATTGTCACTTCTCACGTACCCTTTATTCATACTTATCCACGTCTCCTCGTCAGCAACATTTTCGAAGTCTGACGGAATTGAAACCACCTCCGCTTGTGTTTCCTCTAGAGGAGTATCGTTGAAGTTGCTGTCGTCGTCAAAGAGCATTTCAAAGGCCACTGGAGTAAGATCTGTATCCTTCCTAGCGGAAACCATTGGAGACTCCAAGTTTACAGAATCCTGTATCAAGGTCAATGGTAAAACCCATGGTAAAGGCAGCATGTACCTTTAGAGATTTTGGAGTGACAAAGCGTGGACACCATGTTTCACGCCGATTGCTCTGAACATGTAATCTTAAGGAGAAAACCCAAATAGCGAAAATGGCAGTACCTTTCTTGATGGTTTGCGATCATCCCACGTAGAACTAATCACTAGAGTGCTCAGGTTTTCAATCTTTCGCTCCTGTTCTTGAATCCTTATCTCGCGCTCTTTTTGAGCTTTTTTCTCTTCCTCAAGCTCCAGAGCCAGTCTTTCACGTTCTAGCTCGAACTGGCCACAAGATCACCGGTAAGTTATATTCCATTGTAAATGACAAAGACACTAACCTTTAACAGATCATTCCTCAAGTTCAATATTTCCTTCTCCAAAACTTCAGATCTCGTACCCTGAATCCACTAAGTTAGACAGAGACTAACGTGTTCGTATGATATCCAAACCTGCAGTTTCATTCGTAATACTTCGATTTCTTTCTTTTGCCGTTTCAGCAAGGCTGCATCTGTGATTGTCTATCGCATAGTAGCTATGTCAGAGCAAGTTTCCTGGTCGGGCAAACAGTACCTCATTAATTTGTGCACATGTTGAAACCCGTTTAGCTCTGCTGGCAAACTGCAAAGTTCCTCGTGTCTCATCAAGCTGCATCTGTGAATTAACTTGTGTCAATTATCAAGGACATGCAGAACCATCCGCAACGTTACCTCATCCGGAGTAATTGTGCAGATGACGGCAGTTTTAGCATTTCCATCCAGAGCAGACTGCAGAATCCGAGTTAACTTGCTATTTCGGTATGGTATGTGTCCACTGTAAGCATCATGAAATTAGTGCAGAAAACATGTAACTTGAATTACCCTTGCTTGCCACTAGCTTCACTAAGCTTGCTGATAACGGTTCCAAGTGTCATCAAGGATTTGTTGATATGCGTCCCTTCTTTGAGACGAACACCACCAGCTCCAGTTTTGGCGATACGCTCCGAGCCTGCAAGATCTACCATATTCTTCGGAAAACAAACTGTCAGGTTACCAGAAACGAATTTTAAGCAACTTACGAGAGTTGACACGCGAACTGCGTCCAATGCATCGTCTTGACCATCGTTTGTTTTGTCCCTGCTTTCAATTACCTGTTACAAACAAAGAACTGAATCAACTTTGACTTTGACAGAGGAAAAGCATATTAACCATGCGGAATATGGTATGAGATCGACTACTGTAAACATTCATGTTGGTTTTCCCGAAGTGACGGTAAGCTGAAAGTTAACAAACAATAATTTCTAGGCATTTCAATCTAACGCTTACCTTCTCCAAATTTGAGGAACTCAAAGACCTGACCTGGACTGCTCACAATCTCTTCTCGTAATCCTGCCACAAAAATCCCCCGCTGAAGTTCTTTTCAGTAGAGTCCAAAACACAAACAGGATCAATCAAAATACATACCACGGAGTTTTCATGTATCCGAAGCTTCCGATTTTCAGGAGCAAGCAAGTCGTTGATTTCTTCCTTGTAAATTTCCATGTATGAAACCCGAATCAAGAACTCCCTGTCTAGTATCTGCAAAGAAGCAAATAAGCTCCACAGAGAACAGATTTAATTACACAAACACTCTGAATGGTGCTGAAAACGTCGCATATAGCACGATGGATAAGCCCAGGATCCCGCTCAGACCCACGCATTGTATAGGTTTTGCCACTGCTGGTTTGGCCATAAGCAAAAATTGTTCCTGGAGCAACAAAAAGAAGGGAAAGGAAAAAAAAAACAATGAGAGCCACACAACTCTGAAGAACGACAGAGACCATTGAATCCTTGAAGCCCAGATAGAACGAGATCCTTGGCATGGATCTCATACACACTCGCATTGGTCGCATCCTTGGTAAATATTTGATCTATCGGAACGAAGAACACGATCAATCACAAGGCCGCAGCTCAATGCCCTACTTACCAAACATGTAGGATTGACCCAGCACAGGAGCGCCGAGCGCATTGTACAGCGCGATCGTTCTAGCGCCAAGCTTCCATTGGCTGCCTCTCACAAGCTCCTGCCTGATCGGCGGCCTCACCCGGATCGCGACCGAAATCTTCTCGCCCTGCTGCATTGCCGCCCTGGATCGATCGAAACCCCCAGAGCACGCGAAACCGCGATCGCGAGCTCTTCCTCTAGCTATAATGAAGAACCCTAGGCCCAGAGATATTGTGGCAACGTACACTAGGTTTCCCGCGCGTTTTTTGAATTGCAGAGAACAGAAAAGATTCATTGTGCCGCCTGACGAGCTTCTAATATAAGGTGGATTCCTTCGACCAGCAATGCGACAATCCGAAAAGTTTCACTTCGAGGTAAAAGGTGATTCTCGTCATGGTCAAAGTTAAATTCCTCTTCAAAGAAAGAAGTTTAGTCAAGAATACTTGTCAACAATTAACACGTAGAACAAAAGTCCACTTAGCACAGTTCTGACCTCTTAACTCTGGATGGATTGATCGATTCGATTGATTGATTTCATCGGGCATGGAATCAGCCTCCCAGAGAGATCCCCAAGAAGATGCCCAAGTTGTTGAAGGAATGGATCAGCAGCAGGAATCCGATGATCGCGGCGAAATGGAGATGATGCCCACCAAGGCGCTCGCCAAGACGATGATCACGCCCTTCACATTCGTGGCCTCCACTTGCTTCCAGACGGGGATTTCACTCATCAAGCCCGACGCGACGCGGGAGGAGAGAGGGCGATGCTTCCACTTGTTCCTGGCTGGGATCATCTCCACAGTCGGCACATTTTGGTCAGTTTTTCTCCTCATCCAGCGCAAGCGGAAGCCCAGCGAGGATCAGCGCCGGATCAACGAGTGCCTCTTCTTCCTCTTCTTCGCCGGGATCACGACCCTGGTCTGGCCTCTCATTTACAGCATTCTTACTGTCCTTTTTCACTGCCCACACCGCACCGCCAACGTGATCGTTAGCGTCTGCACGGGAATCACGACGCTATACCTCGCTTCGATCATCCGCTGGATCGCCAAGCTGGAAAAATTCCTCCGACGGATCAAGCTCCCGTGTAGCCTCTTTGCGATCATTGTCACGATCATCTTCACGGTCAATGGCCTGGGATACATGCTCTACACATAGAGAAAAGCTGTTGCTTCACCATTAGTATAAGCCGACCTAGCTCAGCTGGTATAGCGCAAGGCTCTTAACCTTGTGGTCGTGGGTTCGAGCCCCACGGTCGGCGGAGGCACGGCGATGCATTGTTTGTGTTTAAAGTCTTTTAATCATCTCCATGTTTGCGGCTTCGAAAGTTTCTTGAGCTATGGGGATCTTCCGGAAGAAGATGGGAAAGCCACTCAGCGAGGAGGGGCGGATAAAACGCGCAGCAATTCGGATCTACAGACTGTATGGAAACCCGAGGTGGAGGCACTGACCACCAGGCTTGGAGGCTGACAACTTGCTCGAGGTGAGGCGAGATCATCTGCACGCAAGCTCACACCGGAGACAACCGCGAGCTCAAGAACGTGACGATCCAGGCATTTGGAAAGTGGGGTGGCGTGGAGGAAGCCCGCCAAGTGTTTGACGCCATTGGCCACCTAAGGAACGAGGCATACTGGGCGATCTTTGAGGCCTACGTGAACAACGGGCATTTGGAGGGTGCCCGGCGGGTCTTTCCACGGCCTGGGAGGAGGATGAGCAGCGACACTCGATCGACGCCGAGGACGCGATAGGCTGGAGAGTCAAGATGCTGACCGTTTGACAGGTGGCTAGGTCTTTGACCGAAGGATATGCTGCGCCGATTCTTTGCCCTATCCCACATGCCGGGGCGTGAATGAGGCCACTAAAACGGTATATAAGCTAGGGCCTGGGGAAGAGTTCCATACTTACCTGGACGGGGTCTATTGGTGATCATGAAGGCCAATGGCCTAGGTTCGGCTTTCCCATTGCACTACGGCTTGGCCGGCCTACCATCTTCCCAAAGTGGAGGAGTGGACGTCGTAATTTGTGGAAGTTGAGGGCTCGCGTACGCGCGGCCCTCTCCAAATTCTAAGACCTAAGATGGATCTAATGGATCAATATTGTGTCCATTAGCTTGCTGCTTCATCCATTGAGCTGTGTCCTGCCGGCGATGGCGGCTCGCAACTCTCGAATCCTCTGCGCCTCTGGATCCACCGTTGAGCCAATCTCGGGCTGTCTCGTTGGCTGCTGCATCAACATACCCGCCACTACCGGCGCGTACGCTCAAGAAGGTCCCTGTTTTTTATCCAAATTCTCGCTGCCATTGAAAAGAATTTCTCGTTGTTCTACGGCTTCTCTCGTTTCAGTGAAGCCTTGCTCTTGCTGGAGAGCGGTGCTAATCTCCACAGCCTGTGTGTGTATGTGAGACAGAGAGAGAGAGTCCTTGCGGGTTCTGGATGCGAGGATTTGCTCGTAGTTTTCCTCATTATACGCCTTGATCTTCGCCTCAGATTGAAGACTACCAGGCAAAGTGAGTGAGCGGCTGAGAGAATGTCACTGATGTCCTCAAACCGTTTTCCACATTCTCAGTTCTTCTTTTGTGATCATTGAGAATGAATTGAAGAGATTTTTTTGACTGATTTCAATTCATGAAACAACAAAATATATTACAAGTTCGCATCTTCAAGACGAAAAGGAAAAAATCTTGAATCTGTGCAAATCCATGTCACAGCATTGACAATCTGGCTGAAGCCGCAAAGTATGGAACAATTATTGCTTGTTCTTGTTTTCTCTCCTTGATCTTCCCATCTGAGACTTGGGCATTCTTCTTGGGCTTGATCTTGCTGGTCTTGTTGCTGCTACTCCTCCATCCAAAACAGCCCATGCGCTTGTTAGGACTGAGCTCCTGTTGATTGCCCTTCAACTCCGCAACATGAACTTGAGCCATGGGTTTCCAATCACAATATGGAGAATCGACAATGAAGAATTTGCAGAATTGTTATGGACTTGGTGCCTGGAGCCTGGAATTATATTTTCTACACTGTGTCGCTACGAGTTCTTGACGGTGAAGCTTCCTATCCTCTGTGTTTTATATCCCAGCTTTCCACGGGACTTTCCTTGCACACCAAGCAAAAGACTCGGCATGCAAATGAAGTGTCCTGGAATGTGTTGGGATGTGACGTTATGACATATCTTGAAAGTTTCAAAGGGCAAAATTATCACGTACAGTTTTAATTGGAATTTTAATGTGATTGAAAAGATTAACGTCCAGTATTCAATCGACATATCTTAAATTTCCATGCTTTTGGGAGGATCACATCCCTCACACGAATGGACTACCAAAATTTAGAACAGATTCAAATGTTCAAGATGACAGATTTATTTTCTAGTCTTGCTCACATTGCTTGCTACTTCTTTCAATTTCCATTGTCTCGTTGCAACCTCTTGTTGCTCGTCCGTATTTCCACCTTGAACTCCTGCTGCCATTCCAAAATCAATGATCGTTTTGTATTTGAATAGAGTCTAGATTACAACAGTGGAAAAAAAAATTCGCTTCATATTATTGTCTTGTTATCAAAACCCATGAGCAGAGGTTTCTCTAGTAGTAGACGCTTCAAATGCCGCGACAAAGACACCTCGTCGTTCGTGTCTTTCCTCTGCCTCTCGGTAGGTAGCATCCAAAACTTCCGAAGAGCTCATCACGGCACTCGGAAGGCTTCCGCGATGCAAGAGAACGACGAGCTTCTGGATATTGTGAGGGCAATCAACAGGACTCAGATTGTGGGTTGACTACTCCTCCATCCAAAGCACTAACTCCATTGAGCCAGTCACAAATTGGAGAGAAGAAAGGATATAGTCTTCGTGCGTGAAGGCTGAATTAGATTTTCTACGCTCTGTTGCTGCGAATTCCTGATTTCAATCCTTGTCCAAAAAACTTTCCGTGCAAACCAAGAAATGACTCGGCATGCAAACGAAGTGTCCTGGAAATGGATACGATGCTGCTCATTCATCCTAGCTTGACCAACTTATCCTGAGTACCAGATCTTAAAACAGAGAAGATATTTGGAGGGAGAACAAACAATTTGGAAGCTTTTCTCTACTATTACAGGAGTGGAAGTCTTGGCGAGGAAGAGAAGTGAGGAACGACAATTGCATCCTTTTTCTTTTTCTTTGACTCACTGCTGCTTTCCATAGTCTTGCTCCAATCTTGCGAATTCTCCACCTTGCTTGCTACTTTGAATTTCCATTGTCTCATCCATCCAAAACAATCGACCTTTGCAACCTTTTGTTGCTCGTCCATCTTGATGCTGTTTCCACCTGCTGCCATTCCAAAACAAATGAAAGAAATTCTCAGGGCACACATTATATACTTCGTCCTAACTTGCTAGCCAAGAAATATAGAGAGTTGTTAGGACTCCAGACTTTGACTTGAATAGAGTCTAGATCATTATTGTCACGTGTTTCTCGGTCACACGAATGCTATGCGGAAAAAGAATCATCGCTCGCTTGTACATTGAAAAGAATTTCTCTACTACACAGCTTTCATCTGTCAAAACCCACCGGAGGACATGAGCAGAGGTTTCTCCAGCAGTAGACGCTTCAAATGCCGCGACAAAGACACCTCGTCGTTCGTGTCTTTCCTTCGCCTCTTACTACCGGCGGTAGCAGCCATACCTGTGAAGAGAGATAGATCTGTAGACATCATAGTGGTAGCGAGTTTTCTTGCCTGGTAGTGTATTCGCTCGGTTCAATTGAGAGGTAGCATCCAAAACTTCCGAAGAGCTCAGCACTGCACTCGTATCGCAAGCGCAGGCTTCCGCAATGCAAGAGCATGACGAGCTTCTGAAGGCAGGAGGATTTTGTGAGGACGGCCATTCTTTTCCAGCAAGAGAACTATCGTGTGTTACCTGTACATGTGATCCACAAACTCGTCGACAAGAACAGGCCAAGCACCTGGGGCGGCAGCTACGTTAGTTAGACCAGAGCACGCGAAGGGCGAAGTTTCTCTACCTTCTGGATCGTAATTGCTCAAATCCTCGTGCACCACCCTACTAAACTCCAGGACTTGTCGCCAGGTATCTTCGGTAATAGCATGGCGATGGTGCATTCGCACAAACTCACACCACTGGCCGATCAGCCTGAAACGCCCGGTTAAGGCCAGCTTCCAAGCATCCACCGCGATGCTCACAGCTGAGAGGAAGAATAACGGAGTGAGAAACCATCCAGCAGCAGGCAACAACACAACACTTACTGAGGCTTTTTCCCGGCATCCAAACCGGCGAGCATCTAAGAGCTGCAGCAAATTGCGAGGGGTTCAGCGTGACTATTCTCACTGGCGAGAGCATTCACATTGAGCCATCCTAAAAGAAAGTAGCATACCTCTTGTGGGACGAATGACATTGGAAGATCCAGCTCGAAATTTCACTTTGCTGAGACCATCTTCTTTTCTTGGTTCAAGAGTTCTCCATCGGACCGTTGGTGGCTCCTCGCACTTCACAGAGATGGAGTTAGCCGAGAACACCCGCAGAATCTACGTCCACTCTACCATCAGAAAAGGTAAAATTCATGACCCTCTGCCCCATCTATGTCTTCAATGAACACAAGCTCTTCCATTTCTTCATAGCTCTGAGTTTAGGGGAAAGTGCCGAATTGATTCCTGGGCCCATAGACATCCCATGCATTCAACATGTTGCAAACCAAATGTAGCTTCTCTAGAGCACAATGTTCTCACCTTTTGCTCTTATCGCACATGACAAAAGAACCAAATTTTCATTCTCTTGCACACTATCTTCCTTAACATGGTGTCCTTGACAACAAATGCCTTTGTGAAGCTGTGGATGTATAACATCTGTCGTGCCCCCAATGCAGCCAATTGAGTATATCCTATTGATTTGCAATCTAGGTCTTTTAACACTTTAGAGGAAGATGTTCACAAAGATTTGCACAAACTAGGCTAAAGATAAAGAATCATTATGAATGTTATTCTACTGATTGCTCATGTTACAATGAAAGGCACTTTCCTTTGGCAAAAGAACAAACAATAGCAACTTCTCTATAGATGGTCCCAGGTTAATGGTGTCTAACCCCTCACTTCATGCTCATCTTCCTGATTATAGTCCCAGTTTCAACAAACACCTTTACCAATTCCATGAATGGTGGAGCTTGTATTTGGATGCAAGTTTGCATGGTGTTGGTGAAGAGCTCATTCATGTGTGACATAGGCAACACTGAGGGGAATGGTAAGACCCAAGCTACAACATTGAGGCTGATTCCTTAACTTTAGGCTGGTGTGCACTAATTGTTGAAGGCATATATGAGTTGGGCTTGACTACTACTCAAGAATAGCATGCTTAAGGAGATTGCAATTTTGTGCAATAACGTTTGGCCAAGAAGATCAACAGTAGTGGACACTTCAATCACTTTTCCAAACGTAACCATTTTAATATTTGAATTGAGTGAAAAAGGTTTTGTGAGTGATGAAAATCATTTAGCTATCCCTTAAAAAAATGAGGATACCTTTTGTGAGTGATGCAGGTGAGGCAGATATTCTGCGACGCGGCGTTTGGAAACTGGGGTGCCATTTGCCACCCAAGGAACGAGGTGGCATACCGGGTGATCTTCGAGGCCCACGTGCATTTGGAGGACGCCAGGCGGATGTTCTCGTCTCTCCCTCGGGCAAAGTCCTGGTGGTGGATCCAGATGATGGCGGGCTACGCCGGCTATGGCAAGGTGGCGGAGGCGAGCAAGATCTACAACTGGATGCCGCAGCCTGCTGCTCATTGCCACCATCGGATTCCATCGCTGCCAAGTCTTCTTGCCAAGTGCATCAAGGCCGCCAACTTGATGCCCGAGATGAGTAGGGGGTATATTTGACAATTTGATCTGAGTGACTGTTGAAGCATGCAACATGGTGTAGGCGCACCATCACCTGGATGTCGATCATGGACGCGTGCACCATGGTCCTCTCATCGGTTCTTACGGCATTCTCGGCTCCAGTAGAACTCCGCGACATGGGGCTGAGCGTGGAGCACTACTGCGCTGCTCACACTGCTGACGAGGAACAAACCCTACCAGATACTGCGATACCGTTCGTGGCCATGCCGGGCCACCGGCACTCCTTGACGTTCCGTTGACGGAAGCGACGGGTGTAAGATCCGAGCACCGCATGGACTAAAGATGTTGACCGTTTGACAGGTTAGGTCTTTGACCAAAGGATACGCTGCACCGGATCTTTGCCCTATCCCACATGCCGAGGCGCAGAATGAGGGCACAAGAGCAGTATATAGCATAGGGCCTATGGAAGTAATCCATACTTACCTGGACGGGGTCTATTGGTGATCATGAAGGCCAATGGCCTAGGTACGGCCTTCCCATTGCACTACGGCTTGGCCGGCTTACCATCTTCCCAAAGTGGAGGAGTGGACGTCGTAATTTGTGGAAGTTGAGGGCTCGCGTACGCGCGGCCCTCTCCGAATTAAAAATATCTAAGATGTCTATCTTTAACACGGTTTGTGTTTCTTTAACGTAGCTTGTGCAAATTTGGCTATAGGTAGTTGGGATTCTACGCACAGAAACAAAATTGCTTTGCTGAATTGCTTGAAAATGTGGTGCTAGTGAGCCTTCTCACCTGTAGAAATCTTTCGATGCTAAATCACATGCCGATTTGAAACAATCAAGAGCTACCAGAAAAGCCCATTTGGTTTTATACACATCTACATCCTCCAACTATCTTCCGGCACCAACGTGCACCGTCTCCACCAAGAACTCCCACAACAAGAGAAAATGTAGTCAAATGGGAGTGTGCCAGTCAAAGAAAAATGTAGCCGGATGGGAGTGTGCCGGTCAAAAGAGTGCCAAAAAGACCACAGTCGTTTGACGGACGGATGCCGACGGGAGTGGAAATATACAAATGCCATGTAAGTCCTTGAGAGAGAGTGAAACAGGCGGAGCAATCTTTGATCTATAGACGTTCTAGAAAGGCCATTCTGTGCGGTCCTCTCGAATCATCTCCTCGGCCGCACTACCGTTGAGCAGACTCTGTCAATCGGCTCGGGCTGCCTTGCGGGCTGCTGCATCAACTGCTGGCGCGTAGGTCCGTATTTTCACTGAAACGGAACAGGTGAGAAAAAATTATTTTCCATGGTATCCCTTGGACCAGATTGAAGACTACAGCGAGCAACCCGAGAATCAAACGAGAGTCCTCTATCCAGATAGTCGGAAAATCCCCTCGTGCTTGTTGTAGGCCGCAAAAAACCCTTCTCCGTGTGAATAAGAAAAGAAAACCAGATTTGCGTGAGATATCAACCATTTGTCATTGAGCAGAATTGAAGGTGTGCAAATAACACACATTGACAATCTGGCTGAAGCCGCAAAGTTATTGTTGTTGTTTTTACTCCTTGGCCAGGCTTGATCTTGTTGGTATTGTTGCCATCCAAAGCAGATTGTTGGAACTGCGATGCTGTTGATTACCCTTGGCATGAACCTGAGCCATGTGTTTCCAAATTACAAAATGGTTGCACAATTGCAGAATTAGTAGATTTTCTTCTGCGTTTTATATCCTGCCTTTGTATAAAACTTAATCTACATGCTAAATATATCTCATTTTAAATAATTCCGGTTTGCTCTAAGAGTGGACTGGGGCATGGGGCTGTGCTTTTGTGCCGGATTGGTTGTCGCACACTTCCCAGATTCTCGGAGCGGGGCAGTGATCTTAGGGACATCAAGAAGCGAGTGAATCCCATCTACGACAAAGACGAAATGACTTCTATGATTTTCTCACGGCCAGGGAAAATGGACACCATGTACGAATCCTTTGATGGAGACGAGAGAAGCAACGCGGCCAGTTCCATGGCTAAGCATTTTGTGACGAAGTACGTTTTTGGACATGCAAGTTGAGGACTACATCCTTCTCTGCAAAGAGATAAACCCTCGATCAGTGGTGTCGTTCGTGCGAGGAGGATACTCTCAGCTCGCGCTCCAGGTGGTGGACTGCATGGATCGGCAGGGAAGCCACCCGGGGAGAGCCAAGGCCAAGTACAAGCGATTGTACGTGGAGCTCTACGCGAATCTCTACACCAGCAAGCACAGGAAGGCCAACACGGCCGAGAGAAGACGCGCTGTGGAAGCGTTTAAGCTTTGGGTGGGACACAAATCGGAGAGAGAAAAAAATCGTAACTCGCTTTGGATTTGTAGCTTGTCAGCCTACGAAAGGAAGAAAATTACCTTGAGCTTGTTCGCGACGGAGCTAGACGAACTTGCTCCGATCCTTGACTGCTACATTGTACCTGGTAGATCTTGGAGTGCCCGATCGATAGCCGCGCACATTTCTCCACACAAAAAACCGTCACTTAGCTTGCTGATAACAGTTCCAAGTGTCGGATTTGTTTGTGCGTCCCGTCTTCGAGTCGAACACCACCAGCTCCAATACGCTCTGAGCCTGCAAGATCTACCATGTCAGGTTTTCTAAGCAACTTACGAGAGTTGACACTCGAACTAATGCGACCATCCCTGCTTTCAATTACCGAAAAGCTCTTGCTATGAAACCATTAATATTAGCCGGCCTAGCTCAGCTGGTAGAGCGCAAGGCTCTTAACCTTGTGGTCGTGGGTTCGAACCCCACGGTCGGCGAAGTCTCAGTGATGCATTGTTTGTGTGTGCCTTTTGCTCGTCATGTTTGCGAACGATTGAAGTATCTTCATGATCGAGAGAGTTTGCGGCTTCGAAAGTTTCTTGAGCTATGGGGATCTTCCGGAAGAAGATGGGAAAGCCCCTCAGCGAGGAGGGGCGGATAAAACGCGCAGCAATTCGACTGCGCAGGATCTACAGACTGTATGGAAACCCAGAGGCCGAGGTGGAGGCACTCACCACCAGGCTCTTGGAGGCTGACAACTTGCTCGAGGTGAGGCGGATATACGAGATCATCTGCACGCAAACTCACACCCGAGACAACCGCGAGCTCAAGAACGTGACGATCCAGGCATTTGGAAAGTGGGGTGGCGTGGAGGAAGCCCGCCAAGTGTTTGACGCCATTCGCCACCCAAGGAACGAGGCATACCGGGCGATCTTTGAGGCCTACGTGAACAACGGGCATTTGGAGGATGCCCGGCGGGTCTTCTCATCTCTCCCTCGAGCAAAGTCGTCGTGGTGGATCCAGATGATGGCGGCGTACGCCCGCTACGGCAAGGTGGCGGAGGCGAGCGAGATCTACAACTGGATGCCGCACAAAAAGGCCCTCGGGTGGAGCTTGCTGCTCATTGCGTACGCGAGAAACGGCCTGGTCGACGAGGCCAGCGAGATGCTCCAGAGCGTCCCAGCCTCGGATTCCATTGCCGCAAATGCGGTTCTAGCAGCATTCGCTCGGGCAGGAAATGTGGCGGCAGCGAAGGAGCTGTTCGATTACATGCCCGCCAGGACTTCCGGGAGCTGGAACTCGCTCGCGCAGGCATATGCCCAGGCAGGGCATCTTGCCGAGTGCGTCAAGGCCGCCAACTTGATGCCGGAGACGACGCGGGGGACGTGGGTGGCCATGATCAGGGCGTACGGAGACCACGGCATGGTGGCGGAGGCCCGTACAGCCTTCGACAATTTGCCCCGGGTGACTGTCGACGCATGCAACACCCTGATCGTTGCGTATGCCCGTAACGGGCACCTGGTTGAGGCAAAGGAGCTGTTCGACGCGATGCTGGTGAGGAGCACCGTCACCTGGGCGTCTATCATGGAGGGGTGCACCATGAACAATCTCGCGGGGCAAGCGCTGGAGATTTTCCACTGGGAGAATTGCTCGGGGCAGCTGATGCCGGA